TCTCTCTCTCTCTCTCTCTGTGTGTGTGTGTGTGTGTGTGTGTGTGTGTGTGTGTGTGTGTGTGTGTGTGTGTGAGCGCGTGTGCGAGTGTGCTATTTGTACAGCCCTCTTCCCGCACTGTTCCTGTCGCTTGCGACACTCGTAGAGGAGCCAACAAAGAAGAAAAGGAACGTGTCGCCCTAAAGACCTGCACGGTTTGATAAATTTAATCTATGGAGTATATGGACGATATTGGTCCGTCTGGATATATCGTCTGTAGGAGCTCAAGGGAAAACAACGTGGGCTTTCAGGGGGTGAAGTGAGAGAGAGAGAGAGAGACAGAGAGAGAGAGAGAGAGAGAGAGAGAGAGAGAGAGAGAGAGAGAGAGAGAGATGTGTGTGTGCCCATGGTCGTGCGGGGGGGGCGACCCCTCCCCCACCAGTCAATCAATCAATCAATCAATCAATCAATCGCGGGGGGGGAAACCCCTCCCCCACCAGTCAATCAATCAATCAATCAATCAATCGACGAAAAAAAAAAAATCGACGAAACTAATCAATCAATCAATCAATCAATCAATTAATCAATCAAGGGAAAAAAAAAAAAAAAAAAAAGCGTTTTTTTTCTTCCCAATTTCGTTCGATTTCGCCTATACCCCCCCAACCAAAAGTTGATCTTTTTTGTTTTTTTTTTGTGGGGGGCGGTGGGGCAAGGGATGCGCCACCATGTGGTGTCTCCCGATTTCCAAAAGTGGTTCCCCTGCAGCCGCCACGTGGTGTCAAAGCCGCGCGGACGCGTCCGCGGGGTCGGCGGACTGGCCGCGTCTGCGGATTCGGTTGCGGATGGCTGCCGCCGAGGGGGATTCATAGCGCTCGAAGACAATCCGCAAGCCGGGACAACCTCTCCAGTTTCACGCGCCCCCCGTGCGCCCATTGTCCGCACCAGACTGCATCAGTCCAGCAGTCCACCAAGCGAAGTATTGTCGCCTCCTGCCGCACCTCCATGTCGCCGTCTTCCAGCCGGTCCACAATCTTCACCCCCGTGAACCCGAGAGGCACGTGACCCCACATCCATCTTCATCGCCAACGTGTGGTAGACGAGGGCAGGGGAAACCACTTTGGACCATTCAAATCCCTGTCAACTGCTTGTGCGACGTCTGGAGCGAAGTCGATGGTGATGTATGACTCTGCACGAGCCTAGCCAGTCGACCTCGACGACGATTTGAAGATCCAGCCGTGGATGGTGCGCAACACCAGTTTCTCCACGCTGCGCGCTTTGCACAGAGTTGGTTCACGCTGCGCAGGGTCGTCGATCTTGAAGCACTGCACATCATTCGACGACATTATGAGCATCGAAGGCGGTTCAACTCCTCCGTCTCTGTTGGCGATGACGACGAAGTAGTCCGCACAGTCGCCTACCGCCTCCCTCAAAGGTTTCCCCGGGTCTTGACCCCAGAAAGCGTCGCAATCAACCCACAACTTCGACCTCTCTTCGAGATCATCCTCCTTTGCTGCTCCCTTCAACCTCGTAACAAGTGAACGGTCGTCGTCGTCATCGCCCTCCCGCTTTCCATCTCTTCTCCCATTGTCGCGGCGGACGTCGTCGACCCTCCCCTCTTCCGCTAAGTTCCGCACCTTCAGCGAGTCCACTGTGATCCGCCACCGCCGTCCGACTGCCGCTCGCCGTCGCCTCACCCTTATGCGCGGACGGTGTTTTCCCTCCCCCTGAAGCCCCCGCCTGTTGCAGGGGAAGTGGCTGACGTGGCTGGACCTGGCCTACCACCGCTGGAAGTTGCCTCGGCACGCGCGCCTCAGTGATGACAACTCCTGCCGCCTTCGGGGTCCTTGGCAACACCCCGACAGCACCAACGACGACGCTCTGTTTGATAGCGGACAGTTGTTCCCTCGAAACCCCATCCCGCCCAAAACCCAATCGCATCGCCCCCGCCGTCCCTTGCGCATCCACCATCAGCACTTCGTCTGCCTGAAAGTCGTCTGTGTGTTCGGAGCTCGCCTCGTCAACGCGCTGCCTTTTCGAATTTGGCACGTGGCCTCTGCCTTTTTGGGTTCCCCCCCCCTCCCCTACTCGGCCATCTTTCCGGCCCTTCCCTGGCGCACTCCTCGGGGCCATCTTGTCCACAACTCGGAAACAAGGAACACGTGAATGGAGGACGTGGATGAAGGAGCACGTGGACGAAGGCCGCGTAGAGGTCGACGACGGGCACGTGGACGAAGGAGCACGTCAATGATGCGCACGAACGGACACTAGCCGTGGAGCCGCAACAACGATGGCGACCGAAAAAGAGCACGTGGACGAGGGAGGACGTTGAAGAAGGAGAACGTGGACGAAGGAGCACGTGGTTGATGGGCCTGAAGGGGCACCGGCCGCAGAGCCGTTTCTCCAATCATGGCGGCCACAAAGGAGCATGTGCTCGATGCGCATGAAGGGGCACTGCCCGCGTAGCCGTAAGTGGAACCGTGGAGCGGCGAAGCGGATGTGCAGGAGTGCAACGACGACTCAGTGCGCATACGCTACCGTTGGAGTCGTGGGAATTCAATCAGTGCGGTACGGAATGGCGCCCTGACTCTCCTTTTGTACATAGCGCGTTCTCGCAGAACACCATGGACACGCCTCGCCGTCCACAACAGCCCACCCCTTCACCGATCGTGCACGGACCATTTTCCCCGCCATATCCTGGTGATCCCTTGCATGGCCAACAACACATGTGGGCGCGCAGGAGGACCCTCGGGGAGGTCGAAAGAGCCCGCCAACCCCAAGAACTCGAGGCACCCCTGTCCGCCATTTTCCTATTCCTTCTCCGACACCCCCAAAGAAGACCCTGGCAGATCGACATCCATGCGTGGCGGCAACGCCTCACAACAGCAGCCGGTAACAAAATACAAAATCGGAGGACCTACTGTACAACCGAAGGACGCGCCGCAGGGCATGACAACAATGAATACCCTTCACAGACATCAAACAAATCCACGCTTAAGTAAACTGTGCGGGCAAAAACGACCCGCCGTCTCTACACCACCTTCCCATCACCGCACTTCAGCATGCAAGACGGAGGCAACGGCTATGCTCCAGAACTGCACACGTAGCAATCGCATGGACGTCGGACATGTGTGGCCCAACGACGTCAGGATCGCTCGCGGATCGCTTTAGCAATCTCCAGAAGGGCGTTGCACATCATGAAATTCGCCTGGTTGGCCTTCACGTAGTGCTCCTTCTGCACTTCCAGCTCTCACTCGAGAATGTCGCATTATCTCGTCCAAATTGAGCACTGCGTTTTGCTCGCGCTGTCCACCGTCGTCACCATCAGATTCCCGTGCTCCTTCATGACGTCCGCTTTCGTGTCGAAGGTCTGTTGTCTTACATTCTTTCGTTTGCCGGCCCCACCACTGCCACCGCCGCTGAACGTTGAATCCCTCGTCGATCCCTGGTCGTCATCCTGTCCATCCCCTCATCCCTCACTACCGCCGGATTCATTCCGACCTCCACGTGGGCCGGCCATTTGAACACCTCCAGCCGCACCCATGTCCGCGAGATTCATGGGGTGTATAGTGTGATTGCCCCTAGACATGGCCGTCATCTCCGAATACACACGCTCATCCATCCGAAAGTCGAACCCCCGATCCTTCCTCTCCCCCGACGTTAGTGTAAAGAAATTAGGCTTCCCCGATTTTCCCATGAACTTGTGCACGGTTTTGAACTGCTGGTACAGGTTGTCCCATTTTTTCCCGCAGTCCACGACCTTTATACTCGTCACCCCCATCTGCACGAGCCTCTTCTCGACGTCGTCCCACTTCCATGTCTTCGTCTTCATCCTTCCGATGTTGTACCCCAAGCGAGCCAGATGCAAATCCTGGTCTCTTTTAGCTCGGATCAGAGCAATCATGTGCTCCACGGTCCAAAAATCCCTGCTTTTTGCTCCCTATCTTCCACACCTTCTTGCCTCTCTGCTCCGCGTGGGGTTTTGTACACTTGTTTGTGGCCCTTGACCCTCCCCACTTCCTCCCTATTGGACAAATCTCCATCTCCCCGTCGTCGTCCTCGTCGTTCTCATTGGCCCCGTCGTCTGCAGCGCAATCTTCGCCCCCTGCACCATCGCAATCGCCGAAGTTATCGTTCACCCCCACATTAATCTTTGCCACCCCTCTCGTTATGCCGGACGTGCTCGCTTCACGCGATTGTTGCCGATGATCATCCCAAACCTTTCGTCTCACGACCTCCGCAGCAGAGCACTCATCGTCGTCCTGTCGACCGTCGATTGTGCCGCCTGGCGTAGTTGATCCATAGCGAGCCGATCCACGTGTCCTCGTCCTCGACGCGACCACACCTGCTGTGGCCACTGCCCCCCGTCTTCGCGGAAAGAGTCCACGTTCGTCGCCCGATTGACCAGAACACCAGGTGCGGGTATCCGGAAGGCCCGACGCCCTCACCGAAGGCGTTGTGTGGTTGGTGCCAGAAGCTGGGTTCACGACAACGGTGTGCGTCACGTCCTCGTCACTACCAGACCTCAAACCGAAGCTGAGATCTACGAGTCCTGTGTCATAACCAACCGGGGTCCGCCCCTCCAACAGATCAGTGTACGTCGGTGTAGGTGCCTGTCTGCACACTTGGCTCCCCATCCAATCCTGCTTGGAACCGCTGCCCAGAGGAACCGTCGAGGATTGGGGGTCGTCGCCCTCGTCGTCACTCGGAGGCAACGCAATCTCGTGGGACGGCAGGTGGCTGTACAGCGTTGGGTCGTACGGCCGCCTGCCGCCTTCCGTACTGCTGCAACGCTGACGTGACGACCCCCCAGCCCGTACGGGCAGCGTGGTCTTCGTCTGTACCTTCTCCATCTTCCCGCCCCTCTTCAGCGTTTGCCGCGTCTGTTTCCTCCCAGGGACGCGACCAAGGAAGCAGATATGAAAGCCCGCGGGAACGCCAGGACCCCTCCAGGAGCCGCCCGAAGACGTCCGACGCTCGCCACGGCACCACCATGGGGCCGCCCGACGAACGGACAGGGCCGTACCGCCAATCACCGCCAACGGTAAAATGACGAGACCGTTGGTGGACGTTTTGGACGAGGACAGCCCGCGATGTCCATCTTCCGGCCGGTGGACCACCACTGGACCACCTCCGACCTCCATTTTCCCTTCTGGACTTGTCGCCGACACCCCGATAATCGCAGATCCTCGGGCTCCAAAGGACCTCGCGAGGTCCCTTGGAGCCGAGGACAATTTGGTTGGGAAATCCTCGGAGCCCAAGGATTTGTCCTCGGACTGTTTTCACATTTCTGTTCCGAAAATCAGCTCCGAGGACAGGTGGAACGACGATGGAATCCTCGGAATCGCATCCCCGAGGAGTGTCGAACGACACCCTAACTCAGTTTGAAAAAGGCGGGGGGGGGGAAACAGGAAATAGATGCCAGATTCGGCCAGAAAGAAGAAAGCCACTATTTCTTTCAGGAGATAGACCTGAAGTAGAAGAAGGCCACTGTCCCTTTTTTTGGGAAGGAAACTACGCTGGAGTCACAAAAATGAGTTATAATTGCATTATGGGCCAAGATACAGTTTCGAATTGCAGCTCGTCCATTGTATACAACCCAGCTTTGTGGCCAGGTAGGGTGCCCGAAGCAGAAGTGCAATTGCAAAGTGTATCTTGTCCCATGGTTCAATTATTCGATGAGCAGTTAATCCCCCATGAGGGTAATCAATGCTGCTCATCATTAAAAATCAGACTAAAAAATCAGACTCTGTGCATATCAACGCCACAAACACATGTCTGTCCACAAATGATTACAATGTTCAGGGACGCTGGACCCGCCTTCCAGCAGGTGTTGCTCCCCACCAATAGATGGAGCCTCCCCGACGGTGCTAGTGGTGTCTGCTCTTATCAACACCCCTAGCACTAGCTCGGGTTGTTTTGCATTAAAAAAAAAAAAAAAAAAATCGTTTTTGTGACTCTACCGTGACTGAAGTTACCCTGAGATATCATCGTTGAACTGACCGGCCCCAGGTAATTCAGAATGACTTTATTCTGATCATCTGATTGGATCTGGATTCGAACTTGGGTCTGTATTGAAACATTTCGTGGGTGTACCACCGGAGCTATGCCCAACGGTAGTGGCCACTGATTGTTGTTGTTTAAGTCTTGACAAGTTGACATTGTACCAACGCCAACGCAAGAGGAAGCGTGAAGTGAAGTCTGTTGAGGAAACGAGGGTGTATCCCGATCTAAAACCTAATAGCCCGAGGTATTCCGAGAGAGTATGTGCCGAGAAAAACGGTCCGACTCCGTTGGATAAGAGCCTGCGATTACACTACACTTGGGCTGTTGGGCATGGCTTCTAGTGACGACGAAGCACATCCGTAGAGCCACACACACACAAACACAGAGAGAGAGAGAGAGAGAGAGAGAGAGAGAGAGAGAGAGAGAGAGAGAGAGAGAGAGAGAGAAAAGAGAGGGTAACCTAGTATCTCTGGGTAGGGATGAGGGGCAGTAGGTGCTGTATACTAGTGTAGGGTTCGTAGAGCCATAACGGTGGTGGTTCCTGTTGACACAGAAGCTGGCGCTCGAAGGGGGAGTGGCAGGAATGCGCTTCGAAGTGGGCATCGATCGCGTTGGACCGTTGGTGGTACGTACGACCCTACACCCCAGACTAGGATGCGTGAGATTTGTCCCTCGAGTAGTTTTTCAGGCTCCCCGATTTGGGCATCGTCTCCTCCTTTGTGCCCGATACGAACTCCTCTGGACACTACTCCAGACGAAGAGGTATCCCCGACACCGCAGCTGGACATTCGTGAAATATTTTTTTTCCCTCATGCTTGTTTACCGCCTCGGCGTACCACTGCTGCCAGAGCCTTTTCTTTTCTTTTCTTCCTCTCAACCAGCCAGAGCCTCAGGTTCGAAGTATTCGTGAATATGGGCCATGAATCTTGCGCGCTTTTCTGGTCGTCTTTCCAGTGGACGACGGATGGGATTTGCTGTCATGCTTTTCGCTCATCTTTCCAAAGCACGGATGCTGATCGAGTGAGTTTTCTCGAACATATTCTCAACACTACTTGGTATTCTTTTTCCCATTTTCCCCAGCTATTGCTGTTTGTCCCCAAGAACTACAATTCCTATTCGTCCACAATTACTCCCTCACATCTTCAATGGAATTCGTAACTATCCGTGTGTGTGTGTGTGTGTGTGTGTGTGTGTGTGTGTGTGTGTGTGTGTGTGTGTGTGTGTGTGTGTGTGTGAG